AAAAATTTAAATACACTTAATATGTAAAACATGCTTTAATATATAATGGATACTTAGAAGTATTAGTTAAGTATAATTAGGAGGGCGGATGTTACAATTTGTCGGGCTTACCACCCGTCCAACAATTGGAGTTACATATCGACTTCGTTCTGGGAATGGGCCAATAGCTCGTGCACCCTACCACCTTGCACCCACCGAGATGTAAGAAATGATGAAACAGTTGCAAGAATTACTTGATAAGGGTTATGTTAGACCAAGTTCTTCACCGTGGGGAGCTCCAGTCTTATTCGTCAAAACGAAAGATGCCACTATGCGGATGTGCATAGACTATCGGGAATTGAATAAAGTGACCGCGACGAATAAGTATCCTCTTCCCCAGATTGATAACTTATTTGACTAACATCAAGGAGTCCGATATTTCTCAAAAATAGATCTTCGCTCGGGTTATCACCAAGTGCATGTAATAGAAGATGATGTCTCAAAGACGGTGTTTAGGACATGGTATATTGTCATTACAAATTTCTCGTCATGTCGTTTGGTCTAACTAATGCGTCGACTGTGTTTATGGATTTTATGAACCGAGTTTTCCATCCTTCTTTAGACAAATATGTCATTGTGTTTATCGATGATATCCTCGTCTATTCCAATAATGAAGAAGACCATAGGCGGCATATCCGAGAAGTGTTATAAGTGTTTAGAGAAGAGAAACTTTATTCCAAGTTTTCCAAGTGAGACTTTTGGTTGCATGAGGTCCAATTTTTAGGATACGTGGTGACCCAAGATGGAGTGAAGGTGGACCCGCCAAAGATCAAAACTATGATGAACTGGATCCTTCTAAGAGCTCATCCGAGATTCAAAGTTTCTTGGAATTAGCCAATTACTACCGAAGATTCATTCAAGATTTTTCCAAGATAACTTCACCATTGACCGCATTGACAAAGAAGAATGCAAATTTTTGTGTGGACCGAGGCTCAATACTTAGCCTTCAGGACCTTGCTGGGAAAGTTATGTGAAGCACCGATCTAATCCTTACACGAAGGGACTGAAGACTTCATGGTATATAATGATGCCTCTAAATTGCATTTGTTGTGTGTTCTTATGTTATAACGAAAGGTAACCGTTTATAACTGTAGGAAATTCCATGATCACGAGAGAAACTATCCCACCCACTACTTAGAGTTGGTGGCGATGGTTTTTGCTTTGAAGTTGTGGTGTCACTACCTTTACGACACGAACTGCATTCTTTATACATATCATAAGAGTTTCAAATATGGTTAGAGTTACTCAAATATTATGATTGCAAACTGCACTGGTAAGGCTAACGTAGTAGCAGACACATTAAGACGGAAGGGGTATAGTGGAAGCATTTGAGCCTCAATCTCTCGAATTTATATGTTCTTGAGCTTAATTGAGAAAATCAAAATGTCGCAAGACGAAGCACTGTTGGGTACTAACCTTAAATATGAAATCATGGTAAAGTAACAGTTGCAATTAAAAGAGGACGATCGAGGGGTGAAACCTTTACGAGGTCGAATTTGGGTACCTAAAATTGGGGGATGTCGAGAACTACTACTGGAGGATGCTCACAAGTCAAAATACTCTATACACCACGGAAGCACCGATACACACTAACTATTTAGTGCTTAAACACTCTTTCTTCTCCTTTAGATAAGATATTTTCCATTTATATCCCAACATTGAGCCATTTTATTTCCTTATTTTCCACTTCTTTTTTTATGGAGCTAGAGTAAATGATTTACCTGTTTTTACTCTATAATAGGCTAATATGGACTTATTTTGGGCAGAACCGGAGTTCATTATTGATGCTACTAAATTGCTGCAACATGACCTATGGATGGAGCTTGAAGATAAAAGAGCTAGGAGCTATACAACAACGACAAGGGTTGACTTTTGAAGACACTTTTGTTTTTCAAGATTTATTTTAAATGGCTGGAAATTAGTTGTCTAAACATAGTATAAATAGACCTTTAACTTTTTGACTTAGTTGTACTTTTGGTAACTTTAGCTCTAGTTTTGTTTTAACTGACTATTATACCCTCACCTCTAATTTAGTATAAATAGAGGGGTTTGATTAGTGTTTAGTCATATCAAATAATCATCTTCATCATCTTACTATAAAAATAGTTTCTCTCACTATAAATTTAAGTAATCTTTTGTTGAAATTTTCACCACCACGTTCTCTTTTAATTGCCTTTTATTCATTGCAATTTACTTTCCATTATTTATATATTAGGCTTTCCGCTTTTTACATTCCACTATTTATATTCTGTTATTACTTTTCGTTATTTATTTTATGTCTTTATTTACCGTAATTTATATTTATTGCAATTTTCTTTTCGTTAATTAATTTTTGTTATTTATTTTCATGTCTTATCTACTGCAATTTATATTTCTTACAATTTACTTTCCGTTATGAGTAGCTAAATTTCTTAGCTTGGGTGTGAGACGGAAAAGGTGAGTTTATAAATCAAAACAAGTAGACCTTTTTATGTAACAATGATGTTGCATTATTTCATTTCAAGTTTTATAAAATCAATTACACTTCTCGACGAGTTGATCACTATGAAGTGTTAAAGTGCCATGGATCCTAAGCTGAGCCATTGATTGCATGTCAATTTGGATGATATGGGAAGTAGACTTGAGAGAGTTATTAACAAAGAGATTTGTTATTCTTGTTCTCTAAATTGGTTAATTCCCGACAAATTGATCAGTTTGAAGTGTTAAAGTGGAATGGACTCATAGATGAGCCATTCAGAACACGTCAACTTGAATGATATGGGAATCCACTCAAAAAAGTGATTTTTAACAAAGAGATTGTTTATCCATATATTTTGAGAACATCATTCGTCACTTTCATTGGTTTGGGTATCTCGTAGAGATATGGGTTGAAAGCTATAATATCAGTGCAATGATGAAGTCTGAGAGGAATACCCTCAAAATAAATGGTGAAAATAGTTGTTACTAACTGCATGTTGTGGCATTTTGACACCATTATTTTATGTTGTGACATTTTGATAGTATTGGTCTACTAGAATTTTATATTTACATCTCACCGGAAGTCTTACACTCTGGCTTTTTGTTATTTTATGTCATTTTCAATAGTGTTAAATCAGATCCAATCAAAGTCTTCAAATTCACCATCTGAAATCATTTCCTTCGTATTACTTTTTATTGAACTTTAACTACAATCCCTGTGAACGATATTTGATACTTGTACCGCTTTATTTCTTGAAAGACAATATTGGGACTAACTGTATACTTGTTATTGGTCCTGATTGCTAAGTCTGTGGGTGTAAAAAGCTCTTGTCAAGTTTTTAGCACCGCTGCGGGGGGATGGCAAGCAAAAAGTTCTTTTTGAAAGTAACATTAAAGATTTGATTTTTCTAACACCGTTTGAATCGCTTTAAAGTAGTGAATGCCATGGATACACTGTGGGGAGTTTCTCGATTCGATCCAGATATTGATATAACATTTCGTCAAAAAAAGGGCACAAAGAGCATTTTTTGCTCTACTCCCTCCTAATATGGCCTTACCTCCCCCACTTGTCGAAGATGTACCACTTCAACAACCACGTTTGGAAAATACACCACCAGGCTTTGATCAAATACAACGATTTCAGCCTATTCTGTAAAATCAACCACCATTTTTTGAAAATCCACCAGAACATATTTTTTCAGCAAGGACCACCAAATCAAGATGATGCGCATAATGACACAAAATCTGAAAATAATGATCAACCAAGGGTTCAAACTCCAAATATAACTAATCTTGCATATTCTAAAAATGGAAGAATCATGGACTATGTTATCCATGATTTTGAGCAATTGAACTAAGAGATAGTTAGGCCTCATATGACAGCCTTCCATTTTGAGTTAAACTGATCATGTTCCATATGTTGCAAAGAAACGGACAATTTACTGGATTACCATTGGAAGATCTTCTCACTTGCATTTAAAATCTTTCATAGAAATTACTGATGCTTTCTTGACCCCGGGAGTGTCTAACGATGCTCTAAGACTTCCTTTATTTCCATTTTCTTTACGCGATCGGGAAAAATAAGGGATTAATTTATCACCATCAGGTTTCGTACCAACATGGAGTAATATAGCTGAAAAGTTTTTGTGAAAATATTTTCCACCCACCAAGAACGCAAAGTTCAGAAATGAAATTTGTCTTTTTAAACAAATGGACGATGAAGTTGTTCCTGTGCATGGGAGAGGTTTAAAGAACTGTTCAAAAAATTCCCTCACCATGGAATTCCTTACTGTGTTCAACTCAAGACATTATACGATGAGTTAATTCCCATTACTAAATAGATGCTCGATGCGACTGCAGGCGAGGCCTTTACAACTAGCACCTATAGTGAAGAGTATGAAATTCTTGAAAAGATTTCAACAAACAATGGACATTGGGTTGATCCATGTGCCCAACCACAAAAAAAAAAAGACTAATGGAATTCATGATGTATATGCATACATTGCATTAACAGCACAACTCACTTCAATGGCCACCATGCTTAGAAACCTAACTTCTGGTCAATGAGTGCAGCTAACTGCTACTACACCTGTGCCAACAGTACTCTAGGTGCAATGTGTTTGTAGTGGGGAGTGGAACATTATTATAAATATTGTCCTCATAACTTTCAATATGTAAACTATGTTCATAATAGATCTAATCCCTGTTCCAACACATACAATGCTAGTTGGAGGCAACATCTAATTTTTTGTTGGAACAGTCCATGTTTGAATCCATCCGCTCAAAAACAACAAAGAACCTAGAATTTTCAACCACAATAGCATGCAAGCAGTTCTGATTCTCAAAATCATCACCAAAGTTTTCAAACTGCTCAACCATCTTTTTCGAACAAGCCACCTCCATAAGCTAAATCACCATCTTCTTTGGAAGTTGTAATAAAAGGCTTGGTGGCTCCGTCTCAAGCTCAACAACAATTTTTGACCCAAAATCAATCTTTTTTCAATCAGCAAAGTTTTGCTATCAGAAATCTGTAAACTCTAGTCAGTCAACTTGCACTCAATCAGACCAATAGAGTCCTTAGTACTTAGTCTAGTAACGCATAGGTCCCAAAAGCCTTGGTAAAAGGAAGATGTGAAAGCAATGACCCTTAGGAGTGGGAAGGAATTAACAAAGACCATACAAAAACAAAGTGAATAGGTTGTGTCTAAACCTAAGACTACACCATTGGTCCCTGTTATTGAAAATCCACCAAGACCGTAGAGCACCAATCATCAGAGGTCCCTACTTTTGTTCCCCTAAGTAAGACTATCCTATGTTATTCCCAGAAGAGGATGCTAGGAAGAAGTCAATAGAAAATGAGGTTATAGAAGATCCTCAGACCAAAGTTTTGACCCCATCTGAACCACAAGAAAGTAAGACCAAGACTCAAGGCATTCTGTACCCATCTTGCTCAAATTAGTCAAATAAAGCTATCATAAAACCAGTGAAGGTGTTTAAAGCATTTGATCAACATACCCCTTGTTGAATGAATTGAGAAAATGCCCAGTTATGTCAAGTTTCTAAAAGACATCTTAAGTAAGAAGAAGAAGYTGACCGAGTATAAAACCGTAGCTTTTAATGAAGGATGTAGTACACTTCTGGCCAACAAGATACCTTCTAAGCTTAAAAACCTGGGAAGTTTCACTATTCCCTATTCTATAGGTGGGAAATAGATTGAAAAGGCTTTGTGTGACTTAGGTGCTAGTATCAACCTAATGCTCTTATCTATTTTTAACACCCTAGGAATAAGAGAGGCTAGACCTACCACTATCACACTGCAATTAGCCAACAGATCCATTGCTTATCCAAAAGGGAAGATTGAGGATGTCGTAGTTCAAGTTGATAAGTTCATGTTTTTGGCATATTTCATCATTCTAGATTTTGAGGCTGATAAAGATATTCCAATCATTTTTGGGAAATTATTCTTAGCCACCGGAGGAACTTTGATATATGTCCAAAAAAGAGAACTAACTATTAGTCTTCAAGACCAAATAGTCACATTTAATGTCTTTAACTCTTTAAAGTACCCTGATTACTTGGAGTAGTGGTTAGGCATAACTGAGATAGAAGCAATATGTCATAAGGAAGAAATTAGAAAGGCCTGTAAGTTGGAGGAAGAGAATAATGATGAAATAGATGAAGAAATTGTTGAGAAGTTAGATTTGAGAGAGAATGATATTATCCCATTTGATGTTGCAACATTTAAGTTGTTGGAAAATAATGAGCAAAAGAACTTTACCTCGTCCATAATATCACCACCTGACCTGGAGTTGAAGAAACACCCATCTAATTTGAAGTATGATTTTCTAGGAGGCAAAGGTAAATTGTATATCATCATATCATCTACCCTAGATTTGCATCAAGAAAAGATGTTTGTGAATATGTTGAAAATGCAAAGAAAAGTTATAGGATGGACCATTACAGACCTTAAAGGGATTAGTTCTTTTATTTGTCAACATAAGATCATCCTAGATGATAAGAACTTCACATCTGTAGAACCACAAAGAAGGTTAAACCTTGTCATGAAAGAGGCAGTTAAAAGAAATTGAAATGGTTACATGCAGGAAGCATTTTCCCAAATTATGGTAGTTCTTAGGTTAGTCCGGTCCAATGTGTTCCAAAAAAGAGAGGGTTTACAATCATCACCAATGACAAAAATGAACTCATTCCCACAAGAACAGTATCTGGATGGAGAATATGCATGGACTATCGTAGGCTAAACAATGCTACCCAAAAGGACCATTTTACATTACCTTTTATCGATCAAATGTTGGATAGGTTAGTCGAAAAGGAATATTACTATTTCTTGGATGGATACTCAGGAATAATCAGATAGCCATATCACCTGAGGACCAAGAAAAGACCACCTTCACTTGTCTCTATGGTACTTTTACCTTAGGAGAATGCCATTTGGACTTTACAATTCTCCAGAAACCTTTAAAAGATGCATGATATCCGTATTCTCTGGCATGCTTGAAAAATCCATAGAAATGATGTTGGGACTAAATAGCCGCAAGTAATTGAAAGTTTTATAAAGTCATTATTTGTATTGTATTGTAATATCTTTGTATATGGGCAATAGGCTTACATGTAAATGATCTTTTAAATAGGTGTCATGGGCTTAGATTTGTGTTGTTGTTCATTGTTAGTTTTCATGAGAGTCAACTAAGGTGAGGATTTCTTGCCTTGTAATTTCTATTTTTCATTGAATAAAACAGGCCTGTGAGTGTTCTTGAATAGTTCTTCAATCTGTTCATCATCTTAATCTTGATTTGTTGTTGATCTGGGATCTACGTGTGGTATCAGAGCAGAATCGAAAAAAATTTATTCGATACGATCAATCTTTCTGTAGCAAATTCAAGTGATTAATCTATTTTTGTTAATGAAACAGTGCTCGAGATTAACAGACTTCCATGTTCAACATATTTATGCTAAATTGATCAAATTCATCATGATTCTAAATGTTTTAGTCACATTCGTACTAAAGGAATTATTTTTTGGTGATTTCAAACAAGTATTAATCATCAATTTGGGGTTTATTTGATGAAATCTTGAGTTTTTGGTGATTTTTGTTGAACTATTTGGACTTAATCTGCCAGATCTTTGTAAGTCACTCGCTGAATATATCTTTTGAGCGATATACATGATAAACATCGCCAAAATGAAGATCTAAGCCTGTTATGAGTGATTTCTAGTAGTTTATTGGCCATTAAATATGATATGTAACTTGGCTTATTTTAAACTGCATTGAGCGATAATTGGACTTAGACAAATTTTCTGTGCTTTGAGTGATAATCAAAGATACCGCTCAAAGTTTCCCAATAACCATGGAAACCTTCTAAATCATGAGCAATTTGGAGTATGTCACTTAACGTGCTATGCAATATTCGAGTACAGCACCTAATACACTGAATGATATCCATGTTTGTGCCTTGAAGTTTAAATCACTCAAAGTATCAAGTAATATCCTTTGCCTGATATCTTTGTTAAGGGATATCTTACTAAGCGAATCCTTTGGTGGGCGATATCCATATGACTTGCAGTTTTCCTTTGTTACTCAATCATCATGCGATTAAAGTGTTGCATGCTATTCTACATGAGTGATATATGAGTATACCGCTCAAAGCCTTAAGCAATGTCTATTCTTTGTTGAGCGATATAGTGGAAGTTTGAGTATACCGCCCAACGCTTGGGCGATATACATTGTTCATAGGGTAAACCGCCTAAGGCATGGGTAATTTAATGCCAAACTTAAGAACATTACCCATTCTTCGAGTATACTGTTTATGACTCTCTGTGTGGTTACTTTGTTCTTTGCCCAAGATTACCATGTGCTTAATAAAAGGTGTGCGTTATCAGTAGTTTTGCCCATTGAAGCATTATCAATAATTTTGTCAATGGTTGACTTTTCAAAGTCAAAGTTTAACTTTTAGTCAATTTTCTTCAAGCGTATTGTTTAAAGCCAGATTTGAAATGATTTGAGAACTGGGTGATTGGATTCTGTATTTAATTGTGCTGGTAAGAAGATTGAGTTTTTGCAATCATTACTCTAAAGTTTTCTGCAAGAGGCCAGACCGCTGAGTGCTTTCAATCATCATTATTTGAAATGATCAATCAGAGGTTTTGAAGGTCATCAATTATTGTTTTGGAGAATCTGGAGTTATCAGATCTTGATTGTTTTCAATCATCCATCTAATCTGATCAATTACATGTTTGAATGTTTACAATCATTGTTATGAAGTGATGGTTGTGATTTAGAGTTTTATGTGTCGATAATCACTCATCTGACTGAGAATTTTGGATTCGAGTTTTGGTTATTCAATCTTTAGAAAGAATTAAAGAAATCAGCTTATCTTTCTTGATTGACTTGCTAATCATGAAGCTTTATGTTCTTAATGCTGATATTTCTCTTTGGATTTTATTGTCAAAGGTGTTTGCTCTGGTTGTTCAAGATATTTTTAAAACCCCACATTGGGAGCATATCAGATCAAGTTCTTAAGTTGAATGCATATTCATCTCGTGGTTTAAAGAAAGATTCATTGTTATTAGATTGATTCTGCACTTGGATTGTCACGTAACTTGTACATTATCTATCCTTTAGTTGGATGAATGAATTTGCTTGTGGGCCAGTAATGATTCTAAGGTTCAAGGTTGTGTTGAGTTTTCTACAGTTAAGGATGCTTTTAGTGCAATCAGTGGTGTAGAATTCACTTTGGATCTTATTTTAAAGTTGAAACTAAAGAA